AAGAGTAAAAGTGAGCAGTAGTTGAAAAGTGCTTGCATTTGAAGTTATTTGATAAATGGTGCGTTAAGTTCTCATCGTTTATAATAAGGTAGATGATGTAAATGAGCACGTTTTAAATAAATGTTGGCTTTTTTCCACTGGAAGGTTCTGTAACTCGGCGCAGCGGTGCGCCGCTCTGTCAGCTCTAGTATTTTAATCTTGCAGCAGGGGAAATTAATGACCTGATAAACTGTATTAGTGTTGCTCTAGTTAATTAAAATACAGTAAAGTATTGCTATTGTTAAAATGAAACATGCGCTGTTACTCTAGTTAAACTTGTAGAACATGTTTTGTATCTTAGAAATGGTCTTTTAATGAGAGATTCCCCAGTGGTATTTTGGTTATATGTTGTCCCTTATATATACTCTTACAGATACTATTATATTTCGTTTACTTATTTATGTGATCTGGTCAAGTTGCATCCTTCTTAGGATTGTTACTGATCCTTAAAGAAGAGGATCAGAGTGGGAATTACCCTAATCTAGAAACACTAAATTGGGAGATTTAAAAACACATGCTTCTACCAAAATAGTAAATGAACACTTTTTTTTAATATACAAAAGAGCAGCCTCGGGCTGTGTGGGCTTTGCAGAGTAGAGCTGCTGTCGAGCCCTGTGGGCACAGCCAGGAACTCCGCTTACTGCACTGCCCTTTGTTGTTGCCTGCTTGGTGTAACTCGGTTTGACATCAGGAGCCGCTCCTGTTCTGCAGGGGCTCTCGCCGCTGCCAGGAGGGGTTAAACGCAGAGGGCAGAGCCTGCAGTTGAGTTCGGAGAGCCGGTGTCCTTGGTGTGTATGGACTTCCTTCAGCTGTGACCGCGCTTCCCAGGTAAAGAAAGGGGATGCAGATGCTCTTACCGAAACAGTTCCATGACTTTCACCAAAACTGCATACACGAACACGTTGTCATACCCAAGTATGGGCTTTTCTGGTATTCTGAGGCCAGCGATGGCCATGTGCTGGGCTGGGTAGCAACCAAGAATTGTAGTTTGTAGTCCCCAGGGAAAAGCAGAAATGCATCCGTAGGCCTGTGCAACTCTTTGCAGCTAAATGTTAAGGATACAATATACTTAAGGTGAGTTCAGGAATGGACTAGGCCCATCCACAGGGTTTTAATCCATTGCTGTTTGTTTAAACACAATTGTCCAAATGCTGCTTGGGCTGTGTGGCTGATGCAGCTGACACTGAACTGCTTCCCCCCCACCTTTTCAGCTTCCCAAACTGGCTTATTACAGGAGTATGCAAGAGATGGGTAGGGATGGTGTGGGATGTGGAGTAGAGGGGGTGGCAGCAAGACCTGGGCTGGCTTAAGTCACCGGGGACCTGTGTTCTCGGAAATTTCAGATCCTTAGATCTGTCTTTCCCAAATGCATAACGTACGTGGATGCTTATTAATGCACCAGGCAAGAAACGTAGCTGCAGCTATTCAGATGTGTTCTAAAAACAGAGGGAAATTGCCTTCCAACAGAAGTAGATATCCAGGATTTTTACAAAATAAATCCATAAATCTGATAAGCCAGACACACATCTGGTATTTCTGCTGCCAGATCTTAACCCCTTCACCTTCCTCCCCATCCCAAGCTATAGGGTCTTCTTAACGGTAGAAATGTCTTTTGCAGTTAGTCTTTATCTTGAATTATGGAGCTAGCAACAGTTGAAAGATGGTTATTTGGGGTGAGGGGATGACTGGTGTTACACTTTGTGTCACTATGATGCATTTGTTTTAAAATGTCATCCTATACAATGAGTTAACTCTTTACATTCTGTTTGACTTTGTCAGAGCCATGCAGGAACCCCTGTAATTTGCTAGGCAAAATTAACCTGTGGAACAGTCTGCCACGAGATAACACCAAGCTGACACTACGGGTGTTTGAACACCCAGGGCTGCATTAGAGAGACTAAAAGACCACGATGGGGTGTATAATCTCAGGTTTCTGGTGTTATTTGGGAACAGATGAGGAGGAAAATGGCTCTCTGGAAAGCTACTCTCTTTCCACTGGGGGATCCCTGCAGTTCCCTGGACTACTTTGCTCTGGGGAGGGAGGGAGACTGATCGTCAGAGCCTTGATCTGCTGTCTCCTTGTCCTTGCTGTTAATGAAAACCCAACTGAAATCCATCTGTCTCCTGGAATATTTTCTTAATCAAAACTCTCTCGGGTGCCTCTGTGGTAGGGAACAAGGCTCATGTTGAGGCTGCTGCCTCTTCTGGGTTGTAGTTACAGAGCTGCAGTGGAGGGGAGATGGTTGGGCTTTCCAGGTAAGTCATGACCGTGTGGTTGACTTTAATGTATATGTAGTTTGCAGCCCTGTTAATCAAAGATCTGTGGAAGGTGATCTAAGGTGTTGTTCTAACGAAGTCCAGGCCTGATAACAGAGCGCTGAGCTTTTTAATTAGTTGGTTGTAGGCTATTTACATATCCGTATGGAGGAGGTTGTTCGTTAAATATTGATTTAGCAGAGGAGCCGTGTTCTCTTCCTGTTGGAGCTCTGACTGCAAACACTGTGCTGCAGGCGGTATGGGCATGCTTGTTGAGTTTTCCTTGG